CCTGTATCATTACCTGTGCCAGTTATTTCAGATTTTCTTTCATTATTATTGTCCATTTTGAGCTGTCACAATTTAAAGTTTAAACCCAAAAGGCCATTTCGAGAAAAAAAAAAAAGCTGAAATACTATTTTGAGAAATGTGGAGATTTACGTTGTAGTTTCAAGTCAACCAACTGCCACATCTGCTATACCCTCTAAAAATTGTTCTGTCAGAGAAGGATGCAACAGGATCCTAAGAGCCTTCATCAGGAATTTGATTCGGATGTGGTGAACAACCCTAAACAAGCAAACACTTTCCTGATGTGTTTATAGTTCCTCCATGAGCCTGATTCTACCAGAGATCTCTTCCTGTTAAAAGGGAGTTCTTTCTTCCTGCTATTGCAAAGGGCTATTTGAGATTTTCAGATTGCCAGGTATTTTTTATTACTATACAAAGCTTTTTGAAATAACTATTGCTGTGAACTTGTGCTATGAAAACAAAACGTAACTAAATCTAAGTTGACTTTAGACTAAATCTAAACGCTGTGGGAAGGACATATAAAAAAAATGACATATTTCTCAATACTGCCACAATGAGTCAAAGCATATTTGCATTTCAAAAGCTGTAGTTCTGCATACTTGTAAGGTGATTTGACTGTGACGTTAGAATCTGCATCCAGCAGGAAGTGCTTCTGGGATACTTTCCCTATGGCTGTATTTATAGTAACCACAGGGAATCCCATCTGAAGCACCCAGGGACTCATAATTCGATCAACTGAATGAGGAAGTGAACCATTATATTCTTTCACAGCCTGTAGATTAAAAAAAAGTACCAAAAAGAATTTAGTTAAAAAAAAACACCAGAGGCATAATGATAATAACTTTAAGACAAAATGAAAATAAAATATAAGAAGTTTGCAGTAATAACATTTGTCAGCTATTGTGAAATTTAAAATTTGTGAAATTTTTTGTACTGTGTGTTTTAATAGAACCTCAGTCCTTTGTAGGATCATATGGCAATACATGCAGATGATTTTGTGTCTGGCTGCACAGTCTGGTAGTGTGAGAAATTTCAAAATGCCATAAAATGTTAAAAAAAAATTATGGTAATGTAACTATCCCTTTTTTAGAGAATATACCAAACAATCATGTTTTGTAACTGTAACAAAATGCCAAAGTCACATACAACCTTTGTAAATAAAAAAAAGAAATCATCATTTTACCATCTGCAGATGATGCCACAAGTCATTCCCTACTGTATTACTGTATCCAAAGTAATTGAGGTAAGTCTGCAGAAAAAAGGAAAACAATCCAAAATTCTTAATTATCTGTGGCTGAACAATATTGGATAAGGTGATGTATCTCATTAACTAACTAAAAGAAATATACAAAAACATACACTCAGTCCCTGGATGAAGACTGGCTCTGAGAGAACGTCTGAAAGCATCCTCAACACTGCTGCACCCTGAGGAGGTAAAAGTTTTGTTCAATCTATCAGTTACTCAGTTTATAATAATAAAAAAAATTAACACAATATATCGAAGAGTGTACAGCAGCTGAAAAACACTAGTTATTCAGGACATGTACATTTATCTCAAAGTGGTACTATTCCTGATCTTTCACATCTACAGTGTCAGTATCTTCAGGGCTATTACTTATTTTGTATTCAATCATTATGGAATCGCTACCCCTCTCCGTGAATCGCTACCTTATTGTCCTGGAGGGGTTTGTGTGTGCCAGAGATTCCAGGGGCTATATTGTTGGGTGGGGTTGCCCCCTCGTAGGGTTACCCATAACAAACTGGTCCTGGGTGAGGGACCAGACAAAGAGCCATTCAAAAGACTCTTATGAGTAGAACATCGAGGGAACAGTTCACCCTACCCACGACAGGGTTACCAGGGCCCTGCCCTGGAGCCAGGCCCAGGTAAGGTGCCTAAGGTCGAGCTTCTGGTGGCCAGACCTTCCACGGGGCCCGGCCAGGCACAGCCTGAAAAAGGGACATGGGCCCATCCTCCTGTAGGGCCGCTACCCACAGGAGGCGCCCTAGGAGTCGGTTGCAATGTGTGTTGGACAGCGGCCAGGAGCAGAGGCCCAGGCAGACCGATCTCTGACTACCTAAACTAGTGATTGGGACATGGAATGTCACCTCCCTGATGGGGAAGGAGCCTGAGTTAGTGTGTGAGGTTGAGAGTTACTGGCTAGATATAGTTGGGCGCTCCTCAACACATGGCTTGGCCTCTGGTACCAGTCTCCTGGAGAGGGGACTGTCTCAGTCTGGATTTGCACTTGATGAGAAATGGCAGGCTGGGGTGGGTATCCCATTGTGTCCCCTTGGCTAGCTGCCTGTATGTCGGAGTTTAACCTGGTGGGTGAGACGGCTTGTTCCCAGTGCCTTTGGGTTGGGAAATGGGTCCTGACTGTCATCTGCGCTTATGCAGTGAATGAAAGTTCAGAGTACCCAGCCTTCTTTGAGTCCCCGGGTGGGGTGCTTGATGGTGCTCCACCTGTGGACTCTGTTGTCCTACTGTGATACTTCAACACTCATGTCTGTGACAGTGAGACCTGGAGGGGGGGTGATTGGGAGGAACAACCTCTCGGATCTGAACCCTAGTGGTGTTAAGGTTCTTCAGCTGAGAGCATTGTCAGGGTGGAAGGAATACTTTGAGGACCTCCTTACTCCCACTGAGAGGTCTTCCGTGGAGAAAGCAGAGCCTGGGGACAAGGGGGATGACTCGTTTATCTCTAGGGGGGAGGTCACTGAGGCAGTTAAACAACTCCTTGGTGCCAGGGCCCCTGTGGTGAATGAGGTTTGCCCTGAGTTCCTGAAGGCTTTGGATACTGCATGGCTGTCTTGGTTGACACACCTCTACAATGTTGTGTAGAGATCGGGGCGGGGGCGGGGGGGGGGCGGGTAACTCTGGATTGGCAGACTGGGGTGGTTTTTGTCCTGGTCGTGGAACACTGGAGAAGCTCTTTATCCTCGAGGGGATACTCGAGGGGATAAAGGGTACACGGGAGTTTGCCCAACCAGTCTATATGTGCTTTGTGGACTTGAAGAAGGCATTCGACCGTATCCCTGGGAGTGTCCGTTGGGAGGTCCTTCGGGAGTATAGGGTTTTCAGGGTTTTCTGCTATGAGCTATGAGCCATTTGATCCTTATACAACCATTTCATGAGGTTGGTCCACAGCTGGCAATGAATCAGACTAATTTCAGGTGGGTGATGGCCAGGGCTGCCCTTTGGCACCAATTCTTTTTGTAATATATATGGACAGAATTTCTAGGCGTAGCCAAATGGAGGAAGGCTTTCACTTCGGTGGTCTCAGAATCTCCTCTCTGATTTCACAGATGATGTGATTCTGTTGGCTTAATCGGGTGATGGCCTCTGACTCACACTGGAATGGTTCACAGCCAAGTGTAAAGCAGTGGGAATGAGAATCAACACCTCCAAATCTGAAGCCAAATCCTCTCTGAACCGTAGTTATTCAGTAGGGTGAGATATGTTAAGTTAAAAGAGATCTCAATTAATCTCCTACAATTAATCTTGTTTAAACTACTTAGGTTTTATAAACTCAAAAGGCCAGATAAAGACAATTTGGGCATGTTTGCATACATAAATCTTATTCAATTAAGGATAATTAGCAGTTGATGAGTAGTGATACTGTACGGTGTTGCAGCTTCTGTACCTTGCTGTATGAGATGACATCAAATTGTTCACTGATTTGGTTAGGTAGGACAATACTGTCTTCGTTAGAGGACAGAGGATGAGAAGAAGTCAAGGCATCGACAGCAAAAACTTTATGAATTTCGTCAAGTACTATCAGGTCTCTCTGGGCAAACAGACAAACAGGAATGTTTTAAGAGGATTTTACACTATGACAAGAATGCATGTAAGATCAGGTCCAAATGCAAAAGTCTGTTCTCACAACATTCCATGTGGGCTCAGCATGGTCTGCTCCTAGGTAAGCCACATATGAAGCAAAGCCTTCATTGAGCCAGACTTCATTCCACCAGCGCAGGGTCACCAGGTTACCAAACCACTGTACCAGACATGGCATGAATTAATTTGTTGATTTATCAAGGAGCGAACAAATCAAAAGGCAAAACAGCTTACCATGTGTGCTAATTCATGGGCAATAATGGTGGCAGTCTTCTCTTTATTCCTACTGGAGGAAGTTTCAGGGTCATAAAGAAGATTGGTTTCCCTGTAGGTCACCAAACCCCAATTCTCCATTGCACCATAATAAAAGTCTGGTAGAGCAATTTGGTCTGTGCGGAAGAGAGCAGATTTAATATAGGTTTAAGGAATTGCTTCAAGTTATCTTAAAAATGTAATTAAACAATTTGTTATAAGACACACAATTCCTTAATTCCCTCAACTGGTATAAACTGTTGTGGTCTGTGAGTTTTATTGATGAGAGTTTTTAGTTTATAGCTTTCTGATTTTCTTTATTTTTATAATTATAGTAAGAACTCTAATGGTTTTTGATTTTGGTTCTTTTGCCTCTCTTCTTGTAGTTTTACTTCGTTTGTGTCACTGCACTTGATTAGTTTCTTCTGTGTCTTGTTACCCTTATGCTTCCACCCTTCATGTGAAACCTTGTGGTTTCAACCAAAACCTTTGGTAATTAATTAATGAATTAATTGATTCATTCATTAAAATCCAAGTTGTGCTGATTTGCCTAGAGATTAAGTGGAAACTGGATTTATCTTCATGATAAATATGAACAATGTATGAAAAAGACACTTGTTTTTGAATGTCATCTTTTGATGAAACCTCTTTTAATGTTTCTATTAATTTATGCAAATCAGGTCTCAGTATGTTTACCATTTGCAACAAGACTTTTAATTCGCTTTCATACAAGGGGTTAATAAACAATCATATCAATTCATCTGAAATTGTTCAGACAGACTCTCTCTCAGTAATCTGGATAGGTAAAAGAACTCCCCACCCACCCAATATCTATCCAATAATTGGAAAAGCTAAAACACTAACATCATGTTATAACAACACCTGTTATAAAAGCAGGGTCACCTGATTTAGTTAGAGGGTAGGCAATGTTATAGTATGACTGGAAGAAGTCCAGTATGGGTCCAGTTACATTGAGAGCATAGTTTCCCTGTCCTAGGTCAATGGCCTTCCTTCGAGCCCAGATACGAATCTGAAAACAAAAACAAAACAGCAACCAACTCTTTCACAAACGTTTTTGACACAGTTCTTCCAGTTTTGGAGCAAGTCAACCAAAGCACACAGAGAATTACCTGAGGGTCTTTTTGTGTGGTATTGATATATGTGTAGTCAGAGACAATGATGGCCAACAGATAGGTGGACATTTTCTTGGTGGGTTCAAACTTGGTTTTTGTCCAACTTACTCCATCAATGGTGATGTTAGCAATATCTGAAGAACACAACTAAAGTTATCAGTGACTATGAATGAAGTAATAGAAGACAAGGTTTTGGTAATGCTACTGTGTGCAACTTTTTGTTTTGTTAAACACGATGATGACTGTCCATATGAGACATACAAACTTTAAAATAGACACACACCCTGCCCATCAGGGTGACAAAAATACCATATTAGTCTTTTATAGCTACATCATGTGAATCCAACAGAATTAAAACTAAAGTAGTCTAGCTGAGGAACCTTTTTCCAGCAGCTAGTCAAATTTCCTAAAGATTCATGAATGAGCTATTCTGTTAAATTACTATTTAGTAAGGTTATAGGCTATTGATTCTGAAGCTCATAATTAATCTGATCAACACATGCAGCACGAAGATTTTTTATTTTTAAGTTTTAGAGTTAAAGAGCGAAGCTGTATTAAGAAAACGGACTTGTTTTGGCTACAGCATTTGGTCATTATGACAGAGCTTTAAGATATTAACTTTTTTCATAATTGACATTTAGTTAAACACATGACTGCAAATTTCTCCGTAGCACAAATTGTAGCACCAGGTCTAGGTTGTGTCTGGCAGTCGTCTAAATTAGTTTGAATCTAAAGGGTTTATGCTAACGCCAAATGCATCACATGCATTCAACAGAATTAAAACTAAAAACACTTAGAACTGTGTTATTTGAACTGTGTGTCATGGTCCTGGGTCTTTAATCCAGTGTTTTGAGTTTATTTTGGTTTCATGACTCTTTCCTTGCATGATAAAGATGATTTCAGTCCAAGTTTTGTACCATTTAGTCTTGAGTTTAGTTCCTTTGTTGTCTCTCAGTTTATTTGTATTTCTGGTTTCCTTTCTTTTAGGTTCCTTTTGTCTTTGTCTTGTCCGGTGTCTCCAGTGAGAGTTAGTCGTGCCCTCTAGTTATTTACCTTTTTCCTCAGTCGTGTCTCTGTTTGTTCTCTCTCTCTCTCTCTCTCTGTCTCTCATGTCTTTACCATCTCTAGTCCCCTGGCACTTGGACATGTTTGTCTATCATGTGCTATGTGTTCTCTTCCATGGACATTTTTGTGGATCTTGGCTCCTCGTCTCCATCTCTGCCGTGTTTACTGTTTTACTTTGGTATTCCTTGTCTCATATGTATTGTATTCAGTGTTGTTCTCCCTGTCTCGTTATGTGTAGTTTGCTCCAGCTCTGTTCCCATGTCTCTCTACTTTCCCTAATCGCCCTCATGTTTTTGTATTGTCACAGTTGTCTACCAGCCTAAATAAACGACTCAGCTTCTGTTGTCTCCTGTGTCTATGCGTCTTTATTTGGATCCTCTTCTGTGCTCCTTATGATCTGCTGTTGCAGATCTTGACACTGTGTTTAGGTGCACTGACCTCTTTCCATGCCATTTGAAAGGGCTACTGTTCCAGGCGGGTGAATGAGCGTTATATGGAAAATGGCTTTCAAAGCTGGCTCATCAAAACAAGGAAAGGTCTTCCTGGCATAAGTTGGATGCATCTGAGAGGTGGCAACCATCCTGTAAATGATCAAAAATTCCACACATGCAAATAGTGAGAGTGTAGAGGTTTAAAATGACACCAGTGAAACAAATCCAGCCATAGAAGGACACAAAGAGGACTTACTTTTGTAATCCATCTTCTTCATACTCACTCCTGTAAAACCCTGACAAGTCATCAGCTAGTTCTCCAGTGAACTCAGTGTACAGCTGATACTTCTGTCCTTGACGTAATTTACTTTTTAAGTTGATAACCAGATACTGTGTTTCTGGCTGCAGCCATGTTGATTCTATAATCAGAGCAGCTGCATCATCTGGAGAGAAAAAAACAAAACATCTTTAACGGTCTCTCTGTATAATCTCCAAGAATGTAACAACAACACACACACACACACACACACACACACACACACACACACACACACACACACACACACACATTTATGTATAGGTTGTAGGGATGGGTATCGTTTAGGTTTTATCCGATACCGTGTGCCAAACCGGTATTTTTGAAACGGTGCCGGTGCTTAACGGTGCTCAAACCGGTGCTTAAAGAATGGAGAACACAAAATTGTCCAAAAACCTCTCATGTTAGCTGTTTTTTTTGTAAAAAGATAACAATGTTAGCCTTTTCTGCAGCTATGGGGCATATATGGTATCACTCTTGGCTGGAAGCAGTGCTTAAACAATGGAAAAAACACAAACTTTGTCCAAAACCTCTCATGTTTAACTGTTTTCCACTTTTTCTTTGGTCATTTTAGCCTTTTTGGCCAGGGTGAAGGGAGTATCTGCCATCAAACAAGAAGACAGCCGCATGTAGCTATGATGATGTTTGCTAGTTCACCTTACATGCATTAATGTAATAACGTGGTTAGCCTACTCAACGTAAATTACACACGAACAACATTAAGCTACTCACGCAGAGAAGAACGGCTGCTGCTGCATCATCATCCTCATCATTTCTGCTACACTGGCAGGGCTAGGGGCCAGGACTCTCCTCTTCGGGTTTTTGGGGGATGTTGCTAACTCCGGGTCCGATAACAGGCACCACACCCGCAGTAGATGTGCTCGGTGTGAGGTCTCGCAGCAAGCTATCAAATACGGCGCATTTCTCGGCTTTTAAAAAAAACGCTATGCGTCGCCAGGTGTTTCATCGGATTCGAGGTGTTACCTCCTTTGCACAGTATCACAGTATCAGCTTAAAGCACTTGTTGCAGGCTGCTGAGTTTGCATCTTTTGCTGTGAAGTACAGCCAGACTTTTGACCGCTTCGCCTTGGCATTTTTAATCTGTAGCTCTGCTCTAAAAGAACGTACGTACCTGGCCCCGCCTACTATCCTGGAAACGTAAAATGATTGGCTAGAATCTAAAGTATGACATCTCAGGAAAAAAAAGCACCGAAATAAAGCACCGAAATGTGCTCTGCTTTTCGGTCTGGTTACTACCGTTTATGTCAGAACCGGTGCCATGATGGCACCGGATACCAGTACCCATCCCTATTCAGGCCTTTGCAGTACAGCAGTGGGGACAGAGGATCTCCTTGGTAGATCCCGCACTTGTTTGCAACCTGTGCTATGGGCTTGAAGTTGGCCTCTAGTGTTGTATACCACATCCCCATAGAGTTGCTAACGTAGCCTCTTATGTTCCTGTTGATCTAGTACAATTCTAGGAATTCCAGGATCCAGGTGTGGGGCATCGAGTCATAGGCCTAATCAATCCAGGCAGTGCAAGGTTGGTCAGCCTAGTCTTGCAGTCTCAGGCAACTGCTCTATCTACTAGTAGCTGGTGTTTTGCTCCTCTGGTATTCTTGCCAATCCCTTTCTGTGCCCCTCTCATGTATTGTGCCATGTGCCTATTCATCTTAGCCGCTATGATGCCTGAGAGGAGCATCCATGTGGTACTGAGGCGGGTTATTGGCTGGTAGTTGGATGGGACCAGTCCCTTCTGGTGTCCTTGGGGATCAGGACTGTCCGCCCTACAGTTAGCCATTCTCGGTGTCTATCATCGACTAGCAGCTGGTTTATTTGTACTGCCAGATGCTTATGGAGTGCAGTCAGCTTCTTCAGCCATTAGGCGTGGACCACGTCGGTGCCTGGTGCTGGAGACCGGTTCTTGGACACACACACACACACACCCATTTGCACACTTTGGCTCTTGTGATTAGGCAGAGGATCAATAGGGGGTCCACAGCCCTCTTAGGGACACTCCCAATAGGGCTTGCTCTTAGATCTGAAGAAGCTTCTCGGATGAGAGCTGAAACGTCTTCAAGAAACTTAAAGAAGTTCAGACGCAGCTCCTTAGACTACAATGACCTGGATGACTGAGAACCTTCACAAACAAAAGCTAAACATACATAAATGAGTTTTTTCTTCAAAATTTTGATTTTTTGAAATGTGTTATCCTACACCAATACTTAATTTGTTAATATCAGAAAGGTAATAATATCTTTGAAAACATCTGTAACTCAATACATCTTCTGCTGCTCTCACAGTTTTATGTATGCAATAGTATTAACTGCAGAACTAGTAAAATGATTTCTGAGATCCTAATAAAATTAAGAATTGTTACTTTACTTTGTATCAAGACTTTGATGGTACCTGCAGTGGTGACACTGGCCATGTGTTTGTTGTCTTGCCTGGTGTAGCTCAGTTGACTGGAATGAATCAGTATCAAATTTGTTTCTTTCACACACTCAAACTGCACAGTGGACTGGCCTGAAACACATGAAAAAAAGAAAAATGCTAATTTATATCAATGCAACCTCCATTGCAGCGGTAGTTTAACACAGGCACCAATGTAATCTCTGCGGAAATAAAAGTATAGTAGAGAAACCTAAATGCAGATACAGAGAAAATAAATCACCAATAACAGTGAATAAAACATTTGAAGGTAACCCTTTATAATAATGACACACTATTAAGGCATTCCCTAAAAGTTTCTTCTATATCAAGACTATTAAGCATTAGTAAGGTAGTGGGGCTGGGGTGCTTGTGGTGGCAGAGCTTGGCTCCTGGCTAGAGTGGCTGGCCTGATCTGGGCAGGGCCAGGTGATAGGTCTGAGGCCCCAGTACCCGTGGTTGTCTAGTCTCTGGCTGGGTCTCTCCTTGTGATGAGTTGGTCTGGCCACCTCACCATGTGGTGTGGGTCAGCTCACGTTGAGATGTCTGATCTGTGCCTCCAGGACTCATGGGTGCCCGTAGGCCAATTGGGTGGGGTGGGGTGTCCAGGAAAGGGAGCACCTGTTGCCAGGTGCAGCTTGTCTTGGACCCAGACCAGTCCCTTTACTGTCTGTAACTGAAGAAATGTCTGGTGTTGTGACGCAGTGTACAGATGAGCCTTGGAACTCATCTGCACACTCCAGTCTACTCTTTGTGTTGAGGGTTCTGCCCCGGACTACTTGGTCTTCCAGGGCGATGACATTGTGGGCCCCAGGCCGACTTCTTCCTGCACCGTGGTGGGATGTGGGGAGTGGGGATGCCTACTGAGCCAATCGTTTGCTGCGCCTTCCATGACAACCCATCAGGGTGTCCTCCTTCTTCTGCTGGGATGGGTTCAGGGATGTTGCAAAGATGTGTTGTCTTACTTTTTGGTTTAAATTTTATGAATATTACTGCTACATTACTGTCTGCACATTACTGTTTTAGATTTGTATGAGCTTTATATATTTTAGGGTAAATTGATCTACAGCACTGAGTATTTTAAGGATGACGTGTCTATATCATCTCTGTCGTTAGACCCATTTACCCATTAAGCATCAGCCTTCAACACAGCTCTGAACTCTCTCAGTGCGCCCCAGGGCGGCTGTGGCTACAATGTAGCTTGCCATCACCAGTATGTGAATGTGTGTATGAATGGGTAGATGACTGAATGTGTAAAGTGCTTTGGGGTCCTTTGGGACCAGTAAAGCGCTATACAAATACAGGCTATTTTGATATATTTTCCCTCTTAAGAAAACGGCACAATTTTCTCATCCAATAAAAAAAAAAATATTATCTAGAAATTTACCCTTTAATTTTATCTCAAACATCACATCTCAACCTATTATTACCATAGTATAACCTTGTGATGCTTACTGGAGATAACTGTAAAACACAATGTTACATGTGAGTGAAGATAACTACAAATCAGCATTTATAATTACACACATTAATGACTATATGCAAGAACAGATAAGCCTTGTTTTTCAAAATAAACATGCCAGTCATACACCACAACCATCTCTGCTGCTGCTGTTTTAACTATGTGACTTCTTGTATCAAAAGTGCTTGGTCATTCACTTTGAATACTTTCAGAGGGGTTCTAATTCAGCAAGTTTTTTTTTTTCTATGCTAATGTATTTCCCTTGTTAGCATTGTGTTAATGGTCTAGTTTGCTAGCTTGCTAAGCATACTACCATGTGCCCAGATGCTATACATATTTGTGTGAATAATGCACATAATCATTGTCACTTTATAACCACATACTGACATATCAACTTCATACAGTGCATAAGAAAAACATACTCAGACAGCTTATCTGATGTGGCTTGGTTCTTTTGGTGCTGATTACAACACACTCTAGGGTCCTCTTGCTAGACATGCATGATGGGAATGACATTCTGAACATCCAATGTGTGTCATAATTAAAATGTTTTTGCTGAAGTAGGATTTGAATTTCAATACAGATTGATATTCCCTATCCTACTTTTGCTGAAATAAAGGACCTAAACACCATTTCAACCACTATGAAGAACAGATAATTAATACAAAATGATAGTCAATGCACTGTCAGTCTTCATATTATACACCTTACTTTAGGCCACAGGGAACTATTTGTACAGTAAGGTTTTACTCACCCGTGAAAATGTAGAGACCATTGTTTGGGTCAGGACTGAGACGAGGCCATAAGGTGATGTTGTAGTACTCAGGAATCACATCCATGGAGAGACGGTAGCTTAGGAGAACAAGCACAAAAATAATAGGACTTATTTCAGACATTGCTATCCAGCTTGTTTTATTTATATTTGATCATTTACAAATGTTTGTTCTTGAAGTTGATGTGTTACAAGCAGAAAAAAGGATTGTGCATCAATATTTGAGCAAGTTTAAAAATGCCAAATTATGATAGGGAGACGACTGGGTCAGAGTATCTCCAAAACTGCAGCTCTTGTGATGTTCCCAGTCTGCAGTGGTATCTATCAAAAGTGGTCCAAGGAAGGAACAGTGGTGAACTAGTGACAGGGTCATGGTTGGTCAAGGCTATTTAATCCATGCTGTGAAGGCTGGCCCGTGTTGTCTGATCCAGTAGGCTCAAATTACCAAAAGGTTAATGCTGGTTCTGATAGAAAGGTGTTAGAATACATGGTGCATCACAGTTGTGTTCCTATTTTTGTAGCAAAAAGGGAACCAATGCAATATTAGGGAAGTGACCATGATATTATGCCTGTTCAATATGTCTAAATAACAGAAATATTAAAAAAATATATATAAACACCTCAAACAGTACAGGACCGTAAACAAACATTTAAATTTCATTTATTCCATTTCATTTATTTATTTATTTCACACATGGTTCAACAGTGTTTCATTTCCTTCATACAAATCCTCCTTCCCATTAATATAACACTGCACCCATGGGTAAAAAGGAGCAGAAGAATAAATTCTTATTAGCACCTTCCCCCTATCTGCAATCTAATTATTCTTACAAGAGGGCGCCAACAACCCAAAAAACTCTCTAATATATATCTTTATTTAACAATGCAAAACTAACAACAAATCAGTATAATCACAATATACGGCACTAAATGGCAATGAAAAATTTTCCTTCCACATTTAGCCCAAATTACTTTTATGTTCTTCATATTGATTTACCCTTTTAAGTATGTAACACATTTTAAAACGGTGCATATTTGTACAACTCCTAAGATTATCTTGAAGAGAATTCCATATTCTTATACCCTTAACTGTCGGACACATTTGCCTTTGTGTGGTCCTAGCAAACTGATGCTTCAAGTCAAACTTCCTTCTGCTATCCCCACTTCCTGAACACAATACAGACAAACTTTGTAACTTAAGAGGTAATGTATTATTTCTTGCCTTGAACATAAATAATAATGTCTGTAATTTCACTAAGTCTTCAAATTTCAACAAATTCGATTTTATAAACAGATTATTTGTATGTTCTCTATATTTAACATTATGAACCATTCGTACCACTTTTCTTCTGTAACAAGTATAGAGGATTTATATTAGTTGCATATGTATTCCCCCACACTTCAGCACAATAACTGAGATAGGGGAAAATTAGTGAGAAATATAAAATGCACATTGCCTTATAATCTAGTATATATCTGACATTATCCAAAATATAAATATTTTTAAACATCTTTTTTCTAACATGTTCAATATGAGATTTCCATGTTAATTTATCATTCAATACTACCCCCCAAAAACGGTAACTCTCTCAATCGGAACTCCATCAATGGACAGAGCTACTTCCTCGTCTTTTACCCAATTTCCAAAAATCATAAATTTCGTTTTTGTCAAGTTCAAAGATAATTTGTTTACATCAAACCATTTTTTTTTATTCTTCCATTTCAGAAATCATTAATTCAGCTAGACTAGGTTGCAGTAATTATAAGGTCCCTGATTATAAAATGGTAATAAAAACAATAAAAGGTATGTTTTTGCCAATTAATATCCTACCTGTCCCAAGGAGCTGTAACATCACCATGATCTGTCAGGGCAAGAGTCCACAATGTGACAATGGTTGCTATGGAGACCAAGGCTAAGATTACACACAAAACACACAGAGTACTGACTCTGCAGGTTTTTCCCATTGCAAAGATGTCCTACAGATAGATGTGAACAAAATGGCAGAGTGGAACAAGTCCAGTTGTTGAATAAACCCTGATCTCAGTCTTCAGTGGCAGTTCTGTTGTGAATTAGCAAAGCCCTGTTTAAACTGAGCTTGTCTGGTTTGCTGAATCTCCTGTGAATGATAAAGAGAGGTGACTATCAGCATTTAACTATGACCTCCCCTTCTGCCACAATCAAGTCCTCTCAATGTGTGAAATAAATGGATTATAAATTAGGTTGGCACTTGTGGGAATTGTGCTGCTGTTGACGATGACTTTCCATTTTGTAGTAGTAAACTGCACAATAATGTTTTACTGCCTGTTTACATATCAGTCATAAAACACTGCATGTCCAATGAGAATTCACTCATTGGATAACATAAAGCTTCTTATCATCTTTGACTCAGTGTTCAGAGGTCAAACCTTGTAAGATACTGACAACACAAAGGCCCATTACCAGTCATCACTTTTAGCCCTATCTCTTGGTTGTCAAGGCTGACATTTAGAGTTGGGAAATTTGAACGGCGAGATGGTGCAGTATACTGCCTCACAGCTGGTAGCCACCCCAGCTTCCTCCCAAAGACATGTTAGCTTAACTATTAATTCTTAACTCACCATAAATGTGAGGTAGATAATGTGCTTAAGCTGTATAAAATGTATGGTCAAAGAAGCTGTTTGTGAGTCTGGAGGTGCAGGGCCTGAGTGACCTGAGGTGCTGACACGAGGTAGCAGGTCAAACATAAAACAGGTGTTTGGCAGGGTGCAAGGTGTCACCCGTGATGGCCCTGGTTTTCCTGAGACTGGAGGAGCTTGTGATCATGGGCTGCCTCCAGGGGTAGTAGCCACTCGTTTTTTGGCAGTAAATTACCTTCTGCACAGCCTTCCTGTTCTCAGTAGTGACACTGATTTAGACACATGTCTACATAGAACAAGTAATGCTGACTTAAAAAGCATGTTTTCTTTTTGTTGTTATTGTTATTGATTTTGGTCACTTAGGAATGGCTCTCAGGTGGCATCATTTGTCACTTTCATGTCTTTTCTCTTGTCCTTGCGCACCCTGTAAAATGTTGGATCCAGGGAAGTGGATTTTGCAGTATCACATAGCTTCTATGATTTAAAAAAATCATCATAATGAGAAGCACACATCATTCCTAAGAAAAAAATAAAATTGTTTCTTATTCAATTGAGTAAACTTAATTTTACACAATGTGCACCAATATAAAATGCCTTTATGTTGTTGGCAGTGAGTGCGCATCACTCACTGGTGTACAGCTGTACACAGCTGCAGAGCTCCACTCACTGTGGGTTCAGGCTAGACTGTAATATTTCATCCAAATAATGTGTCAGGTTCTCTGAACAGACAGTCTGTGAGGTGCACAGGAGAAGATTATATGACAGGCTGTCTTTGGTAAGTAGCTGATTTGTCTGAACTAGTGTCTAATAAATAGTTCAGGTTGTTGCTATAATGTGTGTAAATCTAAAGGCTCTTTTTGACTATATTACGCACCATACTTTTAGCTGCTGTGTGCTACATTTTTATGCTTTGTGGTTATCTCTTTGCAGCTAATCACTGGCTTAAGTTCAGTTATGTCTTTTGTAGATCCATCGCTCTGGTCTCCCTTCTTGGGTCTTAAGACCACAGGGAAACATCACACATCTATCTGCTGTTTGTTCTCATTGCCTAAATCTTTTTTTGTACAATAATCAAACAATAATCAAATATTTCCATTTATGTAGTTATTTTTTATTTCTAAATATGAAAGAACTCATCTGTGCCACACATCAGTCTTTTTGAAATTGCCGTTTACCTACAGCTGTTATTTCTATTGTGCAGCGGTGGATGTGCTGATTTATCACTAAGCTTCACTTTAATACTAAACAACATTCAAGAATTCTAGAGCATGTTTTCAAGCACTCCCATTCAGTCGTGTATGTGCAGTTATATGTGTTTGCTGCAGACTGGACAACTTTTTGTTGGGAGGTTTTATTGTCAGTAATTTGGCCAAAGTTATAATTGCCAGATTCTGACGTGCATTTCCTTTTCTGATTCTCATTTTGAGATTTTTGGTTTTTTGTTTGTTTTTTTTAAATCATAGAAGCTATGTAATGCTGAACAGATTAATGGGACAGCATTGCAGAGGCTTCCGAATTTGCCTTAGAATCCTCTGGTTTCAAATATTTCTACAACATTAAATTCAAACTGAAAATGCAGACCATAAGATAACCCTATATGCTGATGATGTAATACTTTTCCTTGGGAACTCACAAATCTTTCTTCTGAAGATGATCACACTTATAGATAAGTTCTCATCTATATCAGAATACTCCATCAACTGGAATACGTATAAATTTTTCTGCCTGGTTTTCAGATTTGTCAGGGTTGAATCACATTCCTCAACTGCAAATAGTAGAGGATGATCTCACATGTTGGAATACTTGTATGAATCACAGAGAGCGTAGCCAAAATTTATGGTTATGACTATAATCAACTACTTGTTTTTACTGATCCCAAATAAACCCTCTGTTGATTGGTGTAGGTCACTAGATCTTAAATCATTTAAAATTTAAAATCAAAACACAATTTGTATATTACTAATTTTTAGACTAGATTTTTAGACTTGGTCCCCACTGAACAGTTCCATTGCTTAATGGGGGTGGTCAGCTGTAGTCTTGTCTCTCCACATACTTAGCAGGGGTATAGTGGATATATTGGACAAAGGAGGCTGTATACAGAAATGTAAGACCGGAGGAAAGGAGGAAGACCATTGAGAAGATTTATAGATTTATTGAAGAAGGGCTAGGATAACAGAGGAGGATATTGGGGATAGGGAACAGCTACTTCTTTTGGTCACTGTCTGTAGGGGACACCACAGCAGACCAACTGCCTCCATATCATCGTAAGTGCCAAGTTTTGGTAGAATAATTTAGTAAAGACAAAATTATATTGCATAGACCATGGCTATTCAACTACGAAGTTAGTTGGGCCAGATTTTCAAACCGAGGAATTTATCTGGG